GATTCTACAAAAAAAACATTTACAAACCGAAATGCAGGAAGGAAATGCACTCAACATGTTTGCTATACGCGAGGATATAGTTGTCACAATACTGGATTTTCTAACTTTGAAACAATACCGTGAAAAATGTCAATATCTGACCCCATTTTTTGATGCCACAGCACAACAGCGACAACTTTTCTCTTCTTGGTTAGTAGCATAGAACACCAAACTATTATCCTTGAAATTCCAGAGACATTTAACAGCCTCACATCAGCTCAAAGAAGACTTCTTAACTATTTCCTTATGTCAGCTAAGACATGCTTGCTGATGTTGTGGAAGGGTACAAACATCCCTAATGTGAATATGTGGCTTGATGAAGTTGCCAGTAATCTTGAGGTGGAGAGGATCAGATATATTAGACATGAGCAGGTGAATTGTTTTGATGCCATCTGGCAACCTTTTATTAAATATCTGGAGAAGATAACAGTGTGATGCCATTTGCAGATTCTTGTCACCAGTTTAATGCAGGATCCTTCCATTTTGTTTTGGGTGTCTAGGTTGGGTGGGTTGGGTGTTTTGTAAATACACTAATTATAGCTATAGTGCATTTATTATTTACCAATAAGTTCTTAATTTGTATATGCTTACTTACGATCTGTGCACATTGACACCACTCTCAATAAAAGCTTTAACTACTAGTAGCAGAGAACACTGGGACCACTGTAGTAAATATTAACGAGAAAGCGTGATGCATTTTGAGAAACACTGAATGTAAAGACAACTTTTGTTTTCGAGAAAGCTCCACAGGCACCTTTAATGTGAGTCATCATCATCATGGCCGATACACGACCTGCGTAGTAACATCAGTATCAGCACAGATACCTGTCCGGTGTGTTGGACTGGTATGTTTCTATCTCTAAGGAGGAAACACACACATGAGCATTTCCCTCTAAGCGTCAATAAAGCACCCAGAGCTACAGCTGATGATTTTTATTGTTCTGTCTACTGGCTATTAAAGTTAGCAAAGCCAGAGTCAAGCTGAATTTTCTTGCTTTAACAGGACAATTTTACAGAGATTACTCCTAAATAGATGTAATAATCTTGGTTGTTTTTATGTAGTGTGAGTATTTGTGCTTGTGTAAGCAGGATGCTGCTGGGACATTTCACTCAATTGCATTTCCCGTAATAAAAAGACATAATCTGGTCTCACAGACAGCAATCACATTTTTCACTAGGGGGATTATTAAAGTGCAATTCATGCTCTCATTACAGACGACGTCATCATCTAATTCCAACAGATCCCTTTAAAATCGCCCACATAAATAGTGTTTTCATGACCCTTTTTATTCAACATCCACCTGTAAAACTGGCCTCCATTTTGTGTCCAACTGAGCTCTACTTCTGGAGGAAAAAAAAGGAGTAACAACCGACAACCCAAAAAGGTGGATAAATATCCCCTCATCACATAAACAAAGCCGGGAGGCAGAACAAACAGGCTCAGGGTGTGACGGAGACACAGGAGTGGAAAATAAAAGAATAGACGGGTCATACTTTCTGAGGAGAGGAGGCAAAACCACTAAACCGCACAAAATACTCAGACGCTAAATATAGATTTAAAGAGCATCAATTAGAATATTCCTATCATTCATTACGGCAGACGTCAGCGCCACAGTCTCTCTGCTTTCTCAGAGCGCGTATGATTTTTGTGCTGACTCAAAGAGGTTTTTAGAGCATGATTCACACTTCTCACTTGGACCTTACATTTAAGAGCAGCAGTGAAATTCAAGGATTCATACACTGACAGAAGGTGGTTATCTATTTAGACACACATCACCATGAGGGATGTCACCGGTAATGACCTCAGACAGGAGCAGCTGCAGCCAGGCCTGAAGGCTGGGGGAGGAGGCAGGAGGTGGAGGAGACGTGAAGGGAGGATGGGAGAGAAGAAGAGGAAATGATGAAAGAGATGTTTAAAAAAGGAGAAGGGAGGCACAGCATGTGAAGAGGTGAAAGGAGGTGAAAGGAGGTGATGGCGAGGAGGAGATGGAAAAAGTTAGGAGGGGTTGAGGGAAGGAAAGGAAGGAAGAAGGTGGAGGACATGTTTGTATCTGTGCCCACTCTGACAGCTGAAAACCAGACACACATGGACAAAATTAGCTCTCACAAACATAACACTGAACAATGTGGAAAAGGAAGATTAACCAGTTAAAGGAGACCTATTATGCTTTGTGTCTTATAGTGTAACAGTGACACACATTCATATCAAACATGTCCAAATTTTCAAATAATGAGGTGAAATGTCTGAGCAAAAACCTCAGACTCCAGTCAGCTCTGAATACTCCCTTTCCAATGCTTTTTCCACTCTGGGTGCAGTCATGAGGGCCGAATTTTTTCATATTGTCATCTGCTCCTGGCATGCCACTGCAGGTGTTTACATTACCTCGCCTACGCTGCTACATGAAGCTACATGCTAACATCAGGGATGCTTATGCTGCAAAGTTTTCCCTGATTGCAGATCATGTTCAGTTGTGCTTAGAAGCTTTTATTGGTGAGTTTTTGTGGTAGAAAGTGCTGCTAATCTCCATTATACTCATTCCCTGTCTGCAAGTACACTGCTAATGTACAATTAGCTACATGCTAACATTAGGAAAACATGTAAACTTAGTTTCCAATGTAAATTTTTCTCTGATTTCAGATCACATTCCTGCTGAAACACGTTCAGTTGTGTTTCAAAGCTTTTATTGGTGATCTTTCATGATAGAAAGTGCCACTGTTCTCTGTTACAGTCATTCCCTGGCTGCAAGTACACTGCTACATATAGCCAAATGCTAATGTCAGGGACACATCTTGTCTGCTGATGTAATTTTCTCACTGATTTCATATCACTGACTGCTAGAACATGTCTGCTTTTGTTTAGAAGCTTTTATTGGTGATTTTTATGGTAGAAAATGCCGCTATTCTCTGTTATGGTCATTGCCTGTCTGAAAGTACACTGCTACGGTACATAGAGCTACATGCTAACATCAGGGAAACGTGTAAACTTGGTTGCCAATGTTGTAAATTTCTTCCGGATTTCAGATCACATTCTTTTGGTTTAGGTGCTTTACTTGGTGGTTTTTCTTGAGAAAAAGTGCCACGATTCTTTGTTGCACTCATTCCCTGGGTGCAAGTACACTGCTACATGTAGCAACATGCTAACATCACTAAAACATGTAAACTCGGTTGCCAATGTGGTACATTTCTCCCTGATCTGGGATCATATTCCTGCTGGAACATGTCCGGTTGTGTATGAGAAGCCTTTAATGGTGATTTTTCCATAAGAACAGTGCTGCTATTATCTACAGTCATTCACCGGGTGTGAGTACACTGCTAACATACATGTAGCTACATGCTAACACCAGGGAAACATGTAAACTTGTTTGCTGATATTAATTTCTCCCCAATTTCAGATCATATTCTTGCTGGACCATGTCAGGTTGTGTTGAGAGAAGTTTATTGGTGATTTTTAATGGGAGAAAGTGTCGCTATATACATGGTCATTCGCCGGCTGCGAGCGCACTGCTACATGTAGCTACATGTTAACATCAGAGAAACATTTTGGCTGCTGATGTTGTAAAATTTCTCACTGATTTAGGGTCACTGACTGCCAGAACATGTCCGCTTTTATTAAGAAGCTTCTATAGAAAGTGTCACTATTCTCCGTCACAGTCATTCCCTGGCTGCAAGTACACTGCTACATGTAGCTACATGCTAACGTCAGGGAAACATGTAAACTTGGTTGCAGATGTGGTAAATTTCTCCCCAATTTCAGATTGTTATCCAACAGGAACTTGTCCAGCTGTTTTTAGAAGCTTTTATCTTTGGTTTTTCAATTTAGAAAGTGCCGCTATTCTCTGTTACAGTCATTCTACAGCTTCAATGACGGTGCAGAGACACCAAGATTCGGATGACCTGGAATTGCTGACCAATCGGAGCAGACTGGGCTTTTACAAGAGGAGGGCTTTAAGAGACTAAAACAGAGCATTTCAGACAGAAGGTGAGTACAGGTGTTCCAGCACAGATTGTATAGGGAAAGAAAAGGTTTTTGACCATTAAAGCATGTAAAAATATTCTGGTAGAAACACAAAAAACAAGCATGAACCTGGAAATGAGCAATATGTGAACTATATGAGGAACCATGAATCTGTTTGAAGAGTTCATTTTGGGTTGCCATGACATCAGGCCTGTGTGACTAATGATAGATGTTGTATTCAGTAGCTCATTAGTGTTAATGATGATGACTAACATCTGACTGAGAGAACAACAGTCCAAGGGACGTGCTTCAATACAGATTATGGGACGATAAACTTTAAAACAAACTTAATTTTCCCTCCTAATTTTAGTAAATATTTTGCAGCTTTTGAGACATTACACATGCACCCTTCCTCTCCTCTATGTGTGAAGCTGCTCTGCTCTGTGCCAGCTCAGCCTCTTGCCAGTTTAAGGCTGTTTTACATCTGAATGATGGCACACGCTCAAATGATGCTGTATGTGTGTTCACAAGGCCAAGGACTCTTTGTTAACAGTCCTTTCATGTGTGTGTCTGTAAAATGCACTGAAACACTCACAGCTAACATGAACAACACTCAGTGTGCCTTTATTGAGTCGCATTTTTATTCTGTGGGTTTTCCCCTGCACGTCAGTATATTACAGGCCCACAGTGTTTTGGAGTTTGAATGATTAATAGCCTATAGACACATATAAGGAACTGGACTGTGGTCAGACAAGCTGATGTTTAGCATGTGCAAATACACTCACAGAGGTGTGTTGTGTGGGTCATTAACATGCCCTATATCATACATTTTAGGGTGTGTGTGTGTGTGTGTGTGTGTAGGCTGCAGGGGGGATGCAGGCTGACATTCCATCACTTTAACCCTTCATCTGCCAGAGGATGAGATACCAACACACTCTCACTCTCACACACACCCTTAAGAACACCGGGCCACTCATACACACACACACCGGGTCACCACACCCACCTTGCCGGGTGGAGACGTTCCTCTCGTTGGCAGCGGTGAGCACGACCTGCGGGTGGCTCTGCTCCAGCACGAACAGCTCATCCTTGCCCACGCGCATGCTCTTACCGGACTTCATGGTACCGGAGGGCCCGGAGGGCGCCAGGTACCTGCCGCTACAGTCCCTGAACGCCACCTTGCCGGAGCGGAACTCCAGCGTGTAGCCCGTGCTCTTGTCCGTGGTGGCGACCAGCGCGCCGTCGTTCCTCAGGAACCGGTTGTCGGAGGTCTGCAGGTGGTAGCGCTGCTCGCGGAACACCAGCGTGATCATGGAGTCCACCCCCCACGGGACGTCCCGGTCGATGGCGATCTCGTCCACCTTGCCGCTCAGGTGCGCGTACCGCTTGCGCGTCATGCTGAAGATGTTCACCTGCGGGTGCATGGCGATGTGCACGCTCCATTTCTCTGCCACGGACGCGGTCTGCGCGAAGCAGATGATCCGGTCCTCGGTGCCGCCCAGGTAGCGGCCGTGCGGCTCGGACTGCAGGGACCAGCGACCGTCATCATGAGCGGTGATGATGAACCGGCACTCCGGGCCCGGGGTCTCGCTGTCTCCGGTGACGTTCCCGTCCTTATCGGCGGCGATGTACCGGCCCAGATGTGACTTGAGGTGGAACACGTTCCCGCTGGACTCGTCGCCGCTCTGCTCCAGGGTCCAGATCTGCTTCTTCTTCATGCTCGAGGCGGAGGCGTTGATTTTGAAGCCGAAGGTCTCTGCCGTTAGGTATTTGTTCCCGCAGTTGATGAGACCGAACTGGATCTGCAGCATGTCGCTGGTTCCGTTAGTCGCGCCGTTGGTTGTCATCGTCGGTTCTGTGCGCTCGAGCCTCGGACCGGACCGGTTCTGTCTGAGAGGGATGGGGGGGGCGGTTCTGCTATAGTGAGCTCACGGCTGAAAGGGTGGGATGCTGTGCTGCCTCGCGTGCTTCTCTTTGTTTGGGGAGTGTGTGTGTGTGTGTGTGTGTGGCTGAGAGGGAATCTGTGAGCGCGCGCCACCGGTCCTCAGTGCTCTGCCTGTCTCAGCAGCGCGAGCCCGCCGCCACAGCTGCAGCCTATATAACCATCTGTGACGTTGTGCTGCTGACCACGCCCCCTCAGATGGACAGAAATCTGTGATATGAACTTTTATTTATATTTTTCCTCTGCTGGTGTGTCTTAAATCTTGTCCTCTGTCTGTCATTGTTAGTCAAAATAGTGTGTGTGTGCAGACAAGGGCGTAGGTTTTGTTCAACATTTGGGGGGGACACATTTGAAAAGGGTGGATGGGTGTCCCTCGCCAAAAAATTTTGAGCATCCAACACATAATTCCCTGCATTCTGTCAAATTTTATGCACCATTTTGTGTCCTTTCTGCATCACTTTATGGTGAAAATGTCTAATTTTGTCAAAATAAAAGTCCTCTTCTGCTTTCGAGTTTTTACAGGGGCAGCCAACACACATGCCGTAAACATTGAGGGGGACGTCCCCCCTGCGTCTCCCCCCACTAAATGTACTCCCACATATGCAGAGAAATGAAGAAAGGATGCAACTAAGGGTGCTGTCAGACGAGCCCAGTCTCACTCCGAAGTCGTTGAAATCCGGCACTTGGCAGTGACTTGCAGCGTCAGAAACCAACGAAAAAAGGCGTCCTGTAACTTCAGCATGATACGCAGCCAGTTGCCGTTATTGTTTAATGGCACCCAGCTGTGTCGGGGGAAATGCAGCGGGACAAGGATGTAAGTTAAGGAGGCGAGAGTCCAACTGGGTTGAGTGGGAGGGTCCACTCGTGTTCTCACGGCAGCATTTACAAGCGGACCAGATCAAATGCCTTGTGTGAGAAAGCTGCTCTTGATTGGTCAGAATTTCCATGAGGGAAAAATCCAGGAAGTAAAGCAAAAGTTGAAGAAGAGTACACTTGCAAGATAAATGTGACACTTTCTAATGTCACAATGGAGGGACAACTACACAGGTTGATTTTAGCGCTGCTCATCGTGGACTATATTGCTGTCATTGTTCATTTTAGTCAAACCATACAGTTTGAAAACGAGGCGCGGCTCCAACTAGAAAACAATGTTTTGATGCATTGGATGTGCTGAATGTGCATATTAAGGCAGTACAGGAGGAGGTGCACATTAATAATCCTCCAGGACTGTAAGATGCTCATGTTTAACCCAAACAATGTGTCATGTGACTGCAGTTGATTCACATCCAGGTCGGAACACTGAGACCACCTCATCAAGAAAGTCTCAGTCTGGTTGTTTTGGTGCACACCTGAGTGTGATTGCTGTGTTCACACCTGCCCAAACAAACTGCACTTAGGGGGCAAATGAACTTGAGTTCGATTGAACCGAACCAAACAGGGAAGGTGTGAGCGCACCCTTAAACTATAAACTCAGAAGAAGTGTGCCACAAAGTGAGAGGACGTCTTTACAAACATTCACATATAGTGAATCTGTTTTGCACCGACTGATAACATCATATCACTCTCACTCTCTCTCTCTCTCTCTCGGACACACTGATCAGATGGACTCAGCGTTTGAATCACAAGGACAGGGTGTGTGTGCATCCACACACAAAGCTCTATTCATGGCTTAAGCACGCACATCAGAGGGCAGGAAAGGCCCGGCTCCATAAACAAAGAGGCCAAACAGATCACACTGGCATCTTCTCAGTGCGTGTGCATGAGCGTGCACTCAAACACACACAAGTGTGTGAGGCGTGGGGGTTATCATATCAGCAGCAGCTGCGCAGAAAACACACACATACACACACACACAGCAGTCAAAGAAGAAGCAGCTCATACCTCATTTCTCTCCCAGTTAAATTACACGAGTGTCTTTCCAACACGGGTGCAGCTCAGCTGTGTGTCTGTAAGTGAACGATGGGTGTGAGAGAAGTGGTTGAGTCCTCCGCCTCCTCTGCAACCCGCACATCATTTATGCAAAGGAAGACTAATCTGGATCAGAGCTCTGTTTGCACACATTACACCGAGTTAAAGACCAGACTTCCCTCACAGGACTCAAAGTTCAGCAGATGTCCTGGAGCCAAACGTTGAATCCTAACCAGCTGTCTGAGTCACACCCTGACCTTTAATGTACAAAATTTATTTAATCATTTTATTAATATTCAGTGTTTGAATGGCTTCTTATAGAGGCAGTGTGTAGGATTTAGTGGTATCCAGCTGTGAGGATTACAGATTGCAACCAGCTGAAACATCTCCAGTGTCAAAAGGGTTAACAACCGGTTAGAATTCCTTCAGTTTTCATTGTTCAGGAGGTTTTTACCAGGAGCCGAATTATCCTCAGAGGTCTCTTCCTCTCCAAAACAAACAAACCAGGTGATTTAAACCAGTAGAACCACAGAATAAGCAACCCAGTCTCAATCTGAACTTGTCAAAATCCAGCGCTTCGGAAGTGACTTGCAGCATCAGATACTGACAAAAAAGCTGTCCTTTAACATCAGCATGATACGTGGCCGGTCAGTGTTATAGTTTAATGGCACTCAACTGCATCAGGGGGAATCAGACAACACATTCTCACTCTAACCTCGTCACATATTGACGTTTTATTGTCATGGACTTTTAACATCCACATACAACATGCAAGGTACCCTGGGTATGTTGCTTGTTGACGTTCTGGGACGCCGTGTCAAGTTCAGCCTGTTACATACATTGTCTTCTTTCAAAATAAACGCACTATGTCAGCACAACACCACGAATCAACGTTTTTTTTCCTCCAGTGCGAACACTGCTCTCCTGGGTAAAAGTCGGTGTTGGTTTGACCCGTCCTCCACCACTCCCAACTGCCCCACTTGGACTTTCCCCACCTTAACTTTCGTTCTTGTCCCGCTGCGTTTCCCCCTGACGCTGCAAAGAGTTGTTAAACTGTAACAGAAAAGCCGCATATCATGCTGACGTCTTTTTGCGTCGGTCTCTGACACTGCAAGTCACTGCCAAAGCGCTGGATTTCGACGACTTTGGAGTGAGACTGGTTTGGTTTCACATAAAAAATCAGGTTTTTCCAATGTTGTTTGGCTTATAATGGAGGGGCTGCTAACTACATTGGCTAACGCAAAAATGTGCAAACCTGATTGGCCCTATCTAGAGCCAGTGTTTGGTTTGTCTGTTCTGGGCTACTGTAGAAACATGGAGGTGCAACATGGTGATCTCCATAGATGAGGACCCGCTCCCTATGTAGATATAAACAGCTCATTCTAAGGTGAAGAAAACACAACGATTCTTATTTTGAGGTGATTAAAAACTAAAAAAAAAAAGTCATACTTTTTATATTCCATTTCTGCCAATATACCTTTAACTTTACTTGTGTCTGATCAGAGCGTCATCTGTGTTATTGCCTCTCTGCTGTATCTCAATAGTTCAGATTGACAGGAAGATGAAGCAGAAGTAATTTGCCTCCTTTACATAAATAAATAATATTTATAAGTTATGCCTGTCACAACCAGTATGCATCAAAATAGTTCTTCAGTGTGTTTCATCCACCTCCCTGCATGCTGGTCGTTCTGCAAACAGAAAAGTAATCCGACCCTATAGATGTAATCTAATCAACTGTAATCCGTCCCTGTCTCTTTCTCTCCAGCAGTCACGGTAAATCCAATCTTCAGACAGAACATCTTCAAACAAATCACATTTCAGTGTAATTTCAGCTCCAGAATCACGTAGTAATGAAATCACCAGACTTGTTCTGATACATTTCGGCCTGTTTGTGTTGTGCAATATTTATTCCTAATAGCCTGTGTTACAAAACTGAATTTTACAGAGACGTCTGAGCCATTTCCTGCAGTGGAGCTGCAACAAGAATAACGACGTTAAAGGGAGAGTGTGGATATTTTGAAGTGGGGCTGTATGAGGTGCTTATGGACAGTCAGTAGATGTCAGTCGGCACATCCACAGTTTGGAGAAACAGGAGTACCACCATAGAAGATAGTGGGCAGCAGCAAAATGTATTTTAGCCACCTAAAAAAATCAAAATCTGTTTAATCAGTGCACTATATTTAGAATATTTTCATCACTCTACCTTGCCCCGAATAGCCTTTTCCGACAGGGAGCTGAAGTCATTATATCTACATCTATGGTCTCTTAAAGTGCGGACACACCAAACCGACATCAAAGAACTTGCGCCGACGAAAGCCAACTGATGCGTCGTCTACGTCGCCTCACGTCGCCCTGTGTCAGCTGCATTTGAACACACTACACGGACTACATCCGACGGCTAAGTAGCACATACGTTCTGCGCCTGCATGAGAGAGAGCGGAGTGACAGAGTGGTACATCCTGTCAGCCAAGGGGTTTCCTATCTGTGCAGCCGAGCACCGCAGCACCTCCACAGACTATTACATCCAGACGGTCCCAGTGTTTCCTCCGCAGGCTCCACTTCACTCAGCTGCCCGATAAACCCGCTGCTTCTTCCCACTTTAACCTGAATAACAAACCAGGGCTAGGTGCTCCGGTTGGATCCAAACAGAGAGCCGGGGCTAGCTGGGAAGCTAGTGGAGGCTAACTGGCTGTGCGTACCTCCATCATGCTGCGGCTATCGTTCCGCTAGCTGCTCCCAGCTAGCCCCGGTTTGTTATTCAGGTTAAAGTGTGAAGAAGCAGCGGATCTGTGGGCAGCTGAGTGAAGTGGAGCCTGAGGAGGAAGCACCGGTTAGCCCCGGTTTCACTACAGGCAGATTCAATCGCTACAGGGGCAAGGGAATAAAATCTGAACAGCCAATCAGAGTGATCTCTCTCACCGACTAGTTCTGCCGCTGTTTCAACATGCTCAATCGTCCGAAAAGCCGCAGACACCGAAGGGCCGACGGTGCAGGACACACCGCAAAAACTAGGCCGACAGATGCTCACCGACGGCCTGACTTTGGTCGACGGCCGACCGTCGGCTTGGTGTGTCAGGGCCTTTAGAATCCACCAGACTTCATTGACAAAAACAGTAATTTTAGCACGCTGAACACAGGAGCTGTTGGTCTACCACTGCCTCGATTGTTTGGCTTGTTATTGTTATTGTGTGGCTTTGGTGAATTCAA